AGGGGTAAGAGAACTTCCCTGGTCCTGCTGGCCACATTGTTTCTGATCCAGGCCAGTACGCTCTTGGCCTTCTTGGCCACCTGGGCACTCTGGTGGCTGATACGCATCCACCTTTTGACCAACACCCCCAGGTGCTTTTCTGAATATATATGTATTTATATATATATATATATACACATATGACTGAAGGCAGAGTTCCTAGTCCTTCACCATTTTCTGAACAGCACTGGTTCATCGATGGTCACTTGGCTAGGAATGTGCTCATGTTGTATTGCATTATTTGCCACATCTCTGAACAGAAGAAAAACTATTCGGTGACAGCAATAACCCCTCATAAAGGCAAAATGGGTCACTTGGTTCTTCTGTCCTGCTCAGTGCAACTGGCCTTTGACAGGCTTGAAAAGCAAAGTTTTTGAGTCCCATTGTATTGATGAACTTTGCTGCATTCAACATACTTACAATACCACCTTGGATGCCAGGGAGACCCTGCAAAACAGGAGAGAGAGAGAGATTTGAGAGCCATGCTCTTTTTTTTTTCTTAAATGGCACTTTGAGAAGGTTTGGTAAAACAAATACTTACCATGAGTCCAGGAGGACCAGGAGGACCTGTCCGCCCTGGTCTGCCCGGTAGCCCAGGAATTCCGTCCTTTCCAGGTAATCCCTAAACATATGGAAATTAAGAGCATGAAGGTGATGGCCCCAGACCTGCAAACCCAAACAGCTTCACGCAGCACTAGTCTTCTGTACAGCTTGAGGGAATCCCCAACTGCCAACACACTCATACACGTGTCGAGGTCCCTTCCAATCCAAACCATTCTATGTACAGCTTGAGGGAATCCCCAACTGCCGACACACTCACACACGTGTCAGTTCCCTTTTGCCTGATTTTCAAAGCCAGCATGGAGCAGGACATATCAAATGCCAACATAAAAGATCTGAAGATGATTCTTTCTTTGCTAGATCCTTGGTTCTAATCATTTAGTTGCATATTAATTAACCGAGTGGATGGTTCATGCTGGTGGACTCACCCTCTCTCCTTTCTCTCCCTTTGTAGCCAAACTGTATGAGCCATAGTGTCCATGAACTGGTGAGCCCCTGGAGCTCTTGAAAAGAAAAGGAAAATTAAAAAAAACCAATAATTAAATTACTATCTGCCAAAGGATGACAAATAAACCCAAACCAGAGTGACCATCAAACGCAGACTTGCACACCTTTGGCTTAGGCAACAGAAGAAAGAAGCAAGGTTGACCATCCAGGAGACCTATTCATATCCTCAGACTATTTAAAGCACCTTGGAGGACATGCATTATTTATTGTGTTTCTGGCTTGAAATTTGGAGAACAGGATGGAGAACACAGAGTTATAAGAGGACAAAATGCAATCAGGGAACATATCGATGTCTCATGAAGTCTTGGCCCATGTTACATCTACAGTTCAGGATCTTCTTTTTGGGTCAGAGAGACTCTAAATATTCTGGGTTACATATCTGCAAGACTTCAGGGTAGTGCCAATGCAATTCTTCTCCCTCATGAGAGAAAATATGGAAGGGAGTTTGGCAGAGATGAAATAAAGACCCTGATTCAACCATCCATGGACAACATTAATCTCAACTAATTTTAGACTTCCATAGCATAAACTTCACCATCTGAGCTACCCTGCCACCTACCTATGACCTGAAGCACGACCAGACTTTGCTGACCACACTGACTAGCTGACCACCAACGAGCATGGAGACTCATTTTCTCCAGTGAAGCTAACACAGACTGTTCAGACTTGCTGGTTACAGCCACATCAGTAAACTCACTAGACCACCACCTGGGCTCTGAGGCTGTCCTACTGTTCTTCGCGTCCTCTGGCTTTCTGCTTGGTATGAGAAGTGGGTAGATTTGCCTCCTGACATTTTTATTTCTGAAGTAAGGAGCAGTGACAGCTTGGTGGTCTGTTCAGTGACTCACATGGTGTCTAGATCTATCTGAGATGCCACAGAACATCTGGGACACCTGCATGGGACTGGTAGATATGAAGAAGGTTCTATGGAAGACCTGCACTTCAGTGGTTTGCTGGGAAGGAGCACAGGAGGCTGATGCATTTCCCATGCTGAAATGACAGCTTCTAGGATGATCTCCCCAAACACGGGCATGGTTTCCAAAGTTAAAGGTCTTGATACTGATGTAACTCTACTGCACACCACACTTGTGTGAGAAGTGACCTGACCAGAGCAGTGATCAATATGTTTCTTTGAAATACAATCCCCTGAGCAGACACCAGGGAGTTAATTCTCACCTTCAAACACCAGGGACCACACGACTCCTCTTCTTTATGGATATTTGGCTCAGCTGATGATGGATCAGGGATGGGTGGTTTGTTCTCTGTGTCACCAAATGGTAATTGCTTGTCAGCTTTATGTCTGGCAACCTACAACATTGAGTTTGGTTTAGATTAGTGATCCTCCAGGTTTTGGAACCAGACATCAAACACCAACTTTCAACAGGTCTCAAGAGGTCATTGCACTTTTATATCACCAACCTTTTCATTGAAACAGCCATAAAATATCACTGTTGGAGATACTCTGCAGATGATCTCACATTCGTGCCAATGACCCATCAACCAACGTTAGAGAAAAGTGATGAATTTATAACACATTCAAGTGCTCTGCCCCTGCAGTGGCCTTAGGCAACAAAACTTTCAAAGCTGTATTCTGGTTTCCTCAGTTACACTCCCTTGAGTTCCAAGATTTTGTTCCTTATCTCTAGGGTTGGACAGAAGGTGAGGTCAGGATTGGACCCAGTGTCCTAAATCTATTCTTTGCTTTGAAACTTTGCTCAGGGAAGAAGATTGTCCTTGTGCATGACCTGTGCCAAGCGAGCTGGTTTATATTCCAAGGGTTGTGAAGCAGCTCACCTCCCCAGATGGTAGCTGGGTCCCTGAAGGTTGAGGGTCAGAACAAATGACTTCTATTAGCTCTTGGAGGATCTGGGGGAAGTCGTCAAATGTGCTGACATAGAAAACATTCTGAAGGTTCTGCTGCAGCAAGATGCTGTTGAGCTCAACAGGGTCAGCTCCTGAGACACCCAAAGCAATGACGCGGATTCCTGAAACACATTGCTCACTCAACAGAAGAAAAAATGTTTGAGATCAGTTTCCAAACCCTTCATCACAATTTTCCTGTTAACAACCTCTGCTGGGATTAGGTACTCCAGTAGCCATGTGAGAACTCACCTGGAGCAGTGTGTGAGTTATAGCAAACCAAGACACTCAAACTAGGAACAGAAAGAAGAAAGGATGAAGAAGTGAAGAAAGCCAGCTCAAAGTGCACACAGCACATAATGTACCACCCTCAACCCTCTGGAAATTCATGGTCAACCAAAGCCTCACAGAAACACAACAGGGAAACTCTTACCCAAAGCATGGGCTACTCTGGCTGGTTGCAACACATCATCTTGAGATCGCCCATCAGTCAGGAGGACCAGGACATGAGGGAAATCTGGTCTCATCCCTCTGGAGGACTGAAATATCTCATTTAGCATGTAGGTTAAACCACGACCTGGACAAACATGGAGAGGAATGGTGTCAATCTGCCTGTTAAGTCTGCAGGTGAGGACAGTGGATCTCCTTCCACAGATGGAGAAAAAAGGGCATTCAGTGTGGCCCCATAAATGGGGCAGGGAGCAACATCTTTTGAGAGAAGACAGCAGCAAATCAGATTGGCTGAAATGGTTCAGGTTGAATTGAGCAGACAGTTTTGGAAAGGAAAAAAAAAATACTGTCAGGAGATTTGAAGCATTTTCCTTGCATTTTAGGAAAAGACTCCACAGAATTCTCATTTCCACATTTCTTTAGAAAGACCAGAAAAGTTTCCCAAAGAACTCTCCCCCAAATTGAAATGGTTAAGAAGACCAAAATGTATGGAAAGACTCCTATGAGGGGTAAAATGCCTCTATTGACACAACCTCCATAAAAAGAAAGAATAGAGGCAAGGTCACCTAGAAATTTGCAACCTGACTGGTTTCTCACCTGCTTTCCCTAACCATTCCCATCAATATTCTTGTATTTTGACCAGCCCTAATTTTCTGGGTTCCTGACTAATACCACTTAGCCAGGATGAAGGTATACAAGCCTTCAATCAACATACATGGGTGCCTCAAGGCTTCCCTTTATGTTGACTGATGGGAAGATATTTAGGTGGACCATTTAAAAAGGGTCAAGCTAAAACCAACTACCTTCACTTGAATATTACTCCTTGTGTACCTTCAGGGGACCAGCTATACCCTACTGTCCTGCTGGGAATGAGTAGGTGGAAAGTGCTACAAAGGACATTTATGTGATGACACCATGAAAATAAGATGGGGCACATTGTTTTGTTGTTAGGGTAACAAGGCAATAATTGTTGGACTTTGCTGATTAAAATGTGCACACAGTGGGCAATAAGGATGCTTCAGCATCAACTATCTTTACCTCATGTTTATGGGGTTTATCTCTAAGCCAGGTATAAAAACCTCCCTCAAGTGCAGGCAAGATCATAAAATAATGAAGAGAAACTCAGTAGTAAAATTAAAACATGGATAAAGGACACCAGGATAGTTGGAAAGATCATCCCTGGAAATAAAACTAAATTCAATCCTTTGTTCTCCAGTTTTGAAGATCTTTGGGCCATAACTTTCTAACCAGGTAAATGGGTTCAAAACACTCAGACAAATGCTGTCCCTGGTTTCCAACCTCTGTCTTGGTCCAGAAGGTCTATCCCATGTGTGCAGCTCACTTATACACACCTGTTTTTGTGTTGCCTCCAGCATAATGCAGTTCCTTGATGGCTTTCAGGGCATTGTTGCGGTCTCGGTGCTGGTTGAAGTGGAAGGCTGTCCTGGGCTTCTCACTGTATTGAGCAACAGCAACCTGCCAAAGAAAAGGGGGTTAAAAAAACATGAAGAACTGAGGCACACAGCAAATGTGCCATCATTCAATAAACTGCCTTGAGTTAGATAATATAATGAGTTGGGGTGCAACAGGAGTGGAAAGAGGTTGTGTTTCATGCAGATTGAAAAGAGGCTCAAAAATGACTGTCAGGTTGGCAGGTACATAGAACACCATCCATATGCTTAAGCATGGGCAAGGTACTATTTCAGGCTTTCTAGGGCATCAAAGACTTCTGCACAAGCTGGTAGATACAACACAGGACTGATGGGAGACCTACACACTTCGGGCAACTCATAGTTGAGTGGGAGCATCTTCTGCTGCAACAGCTCCCATAGCAGCACCCATCCCTCCTGAACTAAGCCCTTGATCTCCATTGAGTGCAAAAGGAGGTCACCTACTCAGCTCACACTACAGCTATCTAAATCAAGATGTCTTAATTTCCCCAGAATTATTTGTTACCCCAGGGTAACTTCATTAAGTGCCTACACCTTCAAGACTACTTGTAAGTAAAGACTGCAAGAAGCTCCCCGTTTCCTGACCAACTGAAAGTAAGCTATGCAGGTCTCCCTTTCAAAGGGTTAGTTCAGATATTACATTAATTAAACATAAATGACCCAAAATAAATTATCTACTGAATCTTCCAGTTGGCTTTACTGAGTTGTTGCTTAATGCTGTAGGCTTAATTTGTCCTTCAGGTGTTTCACAGCATGGTGTGGGAATCTAGTCCTCTGCTTGTCTGGAGAACGCAGCTGCTGGCTTGTGCTGCATCTCCCATTTGGATCCTCACCTGGATCTCCACCCATTAGCAATCTGGATATGGCCAGAAACAGGGTCCTAGAGAGGGACTCACACCTGATACATGCCTGGGCTCCATAACCGAGACAATATCTCAGTAGATCTGGGATTTCCTTTATTCCTGATGACTCACTCTTGGAAAAAAATAAACAAGAAATGGAAATATATCCAAATGAGTAGGCTGAGGTTTAGGAGGCTTTTAATCCTGTCTTTCTTGGACACACACATGTCTTTAGACAAAGCACTTAGTCTTTCTGAGCCACAATATGTGAGTGAGGAGACTGCCATCAACGCAGGTGTGAGCAAAAGGAGAACACTTGGAAGGAAAATCCCTTTAGAAAATAGAATAACAAAATCTTGCCTGTGTCCCTTCAGGCCCAATCTTAGGGAAATAGGAAACGATCCGGAAGAGGAAATCCTTCACTTTATTGAAATTGCTCTGGCCAATACTCGAGGACTCATCCACCAGGAAGCCAATATCTGCTTTGAACTTGCCACAAACTGCAGAGGGTAGAGAGGATCTCTGTAAGCTGGGGAGTCCTAAAGCAGAAGCATGTTTCTCTGTGTTCAGAGCAACAAAACAAACCCAAGCACAAATACTTCTTGAGATGCCAAGTGTTAGCGAGTGAGCAGGCAGCACCTTCACCCCACAGGGTAATGCTGAGAGCTTCACTGCATTTTTAAGGGCTTTGTGTCTTCCCTTTCCCTGTCCACTCTCACTACTCAATGAATAAAGACTAGTTGTGGCTCCTGAGATCAGAGAAGACCACGATCCCTGGTGGTTTTTACTTACTGCTCCATCATTATCAAATCACACATGGATACACACTCACTTGGCCCAGGGAGAGTTGTGAGCAGTGCAGTGGTCGATAGTGAGATCTCTGGGGCTGGTGGTAGCTTTGTAGTGGTGGCCAGTGGGAGAGGAGTGGTCCCCACATTGCTAGGAGATATGAACAGGGATCTCCTGGTATCCAATTTTGAAGAAGTCACTGGAGCAACTGGCGCAGGTGAATCTCTGTGAGGTCCCACTGTAAGAGGCAACAAAAATAAGTGTTTGCTAAAACTCTTTTAGCTACGATGCCCCTACCTAGCAGAGCATCAGAAGGATAGAGAAGCCAAGAAATTAGCTTCAGTAGAAGTCACATAGGTAAAACTTCAATGTAAGACTCCAACTTTCATACCTGTTTGCCCAAGGAGTGTTGTCTCTGGTCCCTCTGTATCTCCAAAGACTGGTCTTATGGAAAACAAATACATTTCTTTGGTGCTCAGACCTGTCACTCGATATGATCTAGAAGCTGCTGATAACAGTTCCTGGGAAAGATCAGAAGCTGTGAAAGAGGGAGAAACATGCATTGACTGGGAGCCAGGGAAACTCAAAATAACTCCCATGTCTGAAGAATCCCATCTTCTAATGACACTGCCTTTGGCAAATGGGAGCTTGGGGATGAGATGAGTCCTGGGCTTCGGAGTGGAGGCTCTTGGTAAGACATGTTTGCAAACTGCAATGGTTAGGTCTTAAATCAGATGAAATAAGGTTGGTTGGGTCTGACAAGGGAGTTCTTGAGTAGGTGAGCAGGAAAAGAAAATAGGAATTTGTACAAATATTTGGAGAGGGCGTTTGGCCCAGGTGGTGTCCGAGGCTGAGCTCTGTGACAGACCAATGGTTTGCAGTAATTAGCATGTACAGCATTCTTTTTTATTAATGAATGGAAAGTTTGCTGAAAAGTAGAATCAAACTTACTTGAGAAATTTGGTTGCATACAATAGATAGTTGTGATCAAAAATAATGATAGGGAAAATCTGTGAAAAAGTCATAATAATGGTTGACCTTTTATAAATGTCTTATTTTGGAAATACTGAATGATGAATTTTGACACTGTTCAAAGTGAAACTTGCACCTTTTCATTCTGAAATAGCATTTTCCATTTAAAAAATAATTTTAAAAGCTTAGTTCCTACGAAAAGAAATTAAATCAGTGTAAATAATCTGGTTTATTTTCATTAGATGTTCTCAATTACCCCACAATAATTTTGGAATGGAGGTTTTTCTCCTTTAAAAAAAAAAGAAAAAAAACCAAGAAAAATCCCTCTTGAAGTTTAGAATCATAGAATTGTTTTGGTTGGAAAAGATCTTTAAGATCATTGAGTCCAACCGTTAACCTAAGACTGACAAGTTCACCTCTAAACCATGTCCCTAAGCACCACATCTACATGTGCAGAATCATAGAAACTCAAACTCTTCTACTTCCCTCCCTTTGGGTAGGCAAGTAAAAAAGAATAATAACTGGTTTAGATGCCACACTACCTTGTCTGAAGAGATTCACTGTAGGAAACACCAGCTGATGGCTCTGCTGAAACACAGATCTATGGCAGCCCACCACCCACCCTGACTGCCTGGACTCCCAAATGGGCAAGTTGAGCTGTTTTTCCTTTTCCTTTTGTTTTTCCATTTGTAGCACCAAACCTCTTTGTTTCACATAATGGGTCTTTCACACAATGAGAAATTGTTACCACAATCATACTCTGGGACAGAAAGAAGACTTAGGTTGGTGGACTGAGGTAGGAGGTACCTGGATCATACCCAGGGAGGTGGTTGAGTCACCATCCCTGGAGGTTTTTAAGATGGGTAGATGAGGTGTTCAGAGATATGGTTTAGCAGTAGATAGGTACAGTTGGACTCGATGATCTCAAAGATCTTTTCCAACCAAATGGTTCTATGATTCTATGCCTGGCACAAGTCTGTCAAGCACATGCAAGAAGAAATCTGCAACCTTTGGAGAAGGTGGATGGTCTTTGCTGGGGACAATTTTCTATGAAGAATGAAGCTGATGTTTTGCAAGGGACAAGAGACTGTGAGGCTCAAGGTGCAACTACAACACTGAACGAGCTTCTGTTGATTAGGTGGATAAGAAAACCATGATTTTGATGCTCCAAAAACAGTCAAGAGAAAGTAGAAAGAAGAGAGAGGAGGGCAATGTCCAGCTGAAGTTCTCCATGATCCTTCCTGTCACATGAGGGAGGAAGGCTGGCTGTGGATGGAGCCCCACTGACATATATGGGTTTGGTTTTGTGTGACACTGGATGGAGCTGGTCTGCAGCTGGGACGACCTCAAGCTGTATAGAAGGGGACCCAATCTTTTATAGGGGCAAGCTAGATAGAATTCTGGCAGGGAGGTATTAAATGAGTGTAAAAGGGAAGTGGGGGGGGGAAGGGAAATGGGTAATGAATGAGTACTCATTTAGAAAAAAATCAAGTTGTGGAGAAGAAAATTAATCAAGGCACCAAGATACCAAAAAAAAAGAAGACAAAATTCTTAATTGCCTTTACACACTAATGTTGGCATTTTATTTAATTAAACAAGAGAAACTGGAATTACTCACTTATGGCATAAATTTGATCTCGTTGGTACTATTGAAAAGTGGTGGCAAGATTCATCTGATAGGAATGTTAAATCAATAGTTATAAACCTATTTCAGAAGGATCGACCGAGTGAGGGCACAAGGGGACTGTCAGACATGGTATTATCCATTTCTGAGCTCCTGACAACTCTGAAACCAATGATTTTTGAATACTTATGGATCGATACTTTAACAGCACGGCACAGGAGGGGAACAGTTGCATTAGATCACTTAAATCACCCTAGAGAACCAAATGTTCAGTTCCCTAATCACTTACCCATAATATGTAGAGCAAAGAAATGGTGCTACCACAGAAGACTTCATCCTGAGTGACATATGCTGTAAGTCTTAAACTGTCAATACCAAAATGTCCATGGAATTAAAAAAAACTTAAAGCTGATGACCTGGTAACTCAAAAAGAACTGCGGGGAACGCAGGGGAATCATGTCAGATTCGTTTTCTTTATTGATTTGTGAAGATGAACTCATCCCTCGCAAAAAATTAGCGGCTGAAGCAACAATGACAGCAAACGTGCTGTATTCAAAGAGGTTTAAGCTCACTCCAGGAAAAAATAATATAGCTGGTGATTTAAAAGGGCAAATCCCGTAAGGACAAATCAATTGGAAAAAAGAAATACACACTGGAAATTGTGAGGAATTGTTTGAAAAAGTTTTAAAAGTTATTTACGATATAGCAGAGCTTTCAAACAGCTGAGAATTGAGGTTGTATGGATGACAAAACCAACCTTTTTTTTGGTTCAGTGCAACTATCTATGATGGACAGGCAGTGACATCAGAGGAAGAGACACTGATAACGCCAACCAGCAGGCTTTTTTCTAAGCAATTTTCACATCTCCTTTTTCTTCCTCCAGGATTTTGCAATGACCATATGGGTCATCTTTTGAGTTTCCTCAGTGGGCCAGATTCTACTTTTCCCCCTCTTTTTCACCCAAATGAATCAGAATCACAGAATTTTTGGGTTGGAAGGGACCTGAAAGATCATCCAGTTCCAACCCCCCTGCCAGCAGCAGGGACACCTTCCACTAGACCAGGTTGCTCAAAGCCTCATCCAACCTGGTCTTCAACACTTCCAGGGAGGAGCAGCCACAGCTTCTCTGGCCAACCTGGGACGGTGCCTCACCACCCTCACAACAAAGAATTTCTTCCTCACATCTCATCTCCATCTCCCTTCTTCCAGTTTAAAGCCATTTCCACTTGTTCTATCATTAACTGCCCTTATAAAATGAAAAAGCTGAGATGAAAGGTTATGATGTATGGAAGCCCCCAGGGTCAATCCTCTGTTCTCCTTCTAAACAGGGTCCAGATGGGTTCAAAAGAAGGAACAGTGTTGGTGCCATCAGTGACGGCATCATTTACCCCAGGACAAACTGGGCAGCAATGGGAGACACAAGTCATGATGCTTGAAGGAAAAAGCAGCCACTTAAGGTTGGTGGTTGAAAGAATTTTCCATTTGATACCCACCATTTGATGCTGCATCTTCTGCAGCATCAGCTGGCTCTGAGACCAGGTACTGAATCAATCAGACCACAGCCAGACATGTCCATGCTCCATCCTCAAATGCCCTTGGGATAAAGGAAGTTGTGGATGCCCCCTCCCTGGAAGTGTTGAAGGCCAGGTTGGATGAGGTTTTGAGCAACCTGGTCTAGTGGAAGGTGTCCCTGCTGATGGCAGGGGGGTTGGAACTGGATGAGCTTTAAGGTCCCTTCCAATCCAAACCATTCTATGATTCTATGGGGCAGCTCACATAAGGAGACCAAAATACAAACCATCCTTCCTTCCCCCACCAAAAAAACATTACCTGAGAACAAGCGCCATGTTAATAGGTAGGTGGATGCCCCAGGAACAGTTGTCCAAGTCAGCACAATGCTGGTCTCTGCAGCTTCCTGTACTGTGAACTCAGTCACTTTGGGTAAATCCACTGTTAGAGAAGAAAAAAACAAAGCTTAGGGTGGGTAGAAGCCACCACTGAGAGATTGCTTGAGCTGAAAGGAAGCTGATGCATCCTTTGGGAGGCTCAAATCCTGGCCACACTGAAATCAAAGTCCAGATAGAAGTGATGAGCATGAATCATAGAATCATGGAATGGTTTGGGTTGGAATGGACCTTCCAAGGCCATCTAGTCCAACCCCCCTGCAGTGAGTAGGGACATCTTCAACCAGATCAGGTTGCTCAGAGCCCCAAGGTCCAACCTGACCTTGAATGTTTCCAGGGATGGGGCTTCTACCACCTCTCTGGGCAACCTGGGCCAGGGTTTCACCACCCTCATCGTAAAAAATTTCTTCCTTATATCTACTCTAAATCTACCCTCCTTTAGTTTACACAGAATGAAGCACAACTCTGCTACATTTATCCATAGCTCCAGTTGCTGGTGAATCTCTCAGATGGTATCTGCCCCAGGGTGCAAAGACGTGTGTGCCAGGAAGCACATCTTTGCCTGCAAATATCTCTGTAGACCTCCTGTCTCCTTAAAAACCATGTTTCTAGTGAAAGGAAGCAGCACTTCAGGGGTTGTCCAGAAAACTGAATCAGATCAGAACCTCAGCTGGTGGGAATTGGTAGAGTTTTAGCAAATAACTGTTGGTAGATCTTCAGCTTGGACTGCTGGGTGTTTCTCTAAACTGACTGTGAAACCTGAACTGTTGAGATGGGCAATAAAGTTTTTTCCTGCTCACTTGTGCCAGCTGTTAGTGCTCCGTGAAACCATAGTGCTGGTTCCACACCCCCGATCTTCTCCACCACTTGATCTCCAAATCTGCCTATTCTGCAGCATCAATGAAGTCACGTGATGCCACAGCATTATGAGTAATGTTTGCCTTTATCTACTGGAAGTGGTCAACATATTGTAACTAAAGAGGTAATTCCAAGATAATGAGTCACCAAAAACAGCATCTCATGATGATTATTGGTAGGAGAAGACAGGCCAAATGTTTCTCATTAATAAGAAAGGACTAATGCATGTTTTCTGGCATCTAGCTGGTGGGACCTGAGAAGTAGTAAGGTGTCTAACAGCTCATATTGCTCTTTTTCCATCCTTATCTCCCATCAGAGCACCGAGGAAGAGATAGTCCCCAGCACTAACGTGAAGATACTCTTGTCCTCACCCAGTGGTTCTGTACTCACAAGTTTTGGCTGTGAGGAGTGTGGGGCTTCCCTCTTGTCCCCTGATCATTGCAGACATGCAGATGGTGTAGGTGGTGCTCTCCTTCAGTTTAGGGATGGTGAACGAGTCTGTCTCTGCTGCAACCACCTGGGAGGTTTCCAAACCACCTAAGAAGGAGCCATTTAAAAAACCCAACAGAATTACATAGAAAAGGCAGGGAAATTGCTATTAACAATTATTGTTACACCAGTTTGATGTCATATATCTCATGAGACCCCACCAGGGAGGAGTGTTATGTGCTCATTTTGCATATGGGGAAACTGAGGCACAGGCAAGTGACAGATCTGGTCACAAAGGAATCACCTATGCTGCTGGAAGGGAACAATTTCTCTGCATTTCTCCCAAATCCAAAATATGCCAATATCCAACAGAAATCTTTGTTAGCAACTAAAATCTGGATCCTGTAGGTGTTGCAGTCCCCATCTGCCCTGATCATCTGTGGGAGAAGGAATGAGTTGAGCTGAGCTCCTATTTCCTAGGGTTCCTCATGCTCTGTGTTCATAGCACACCTCGCTAAGAGAGCAGGATGCTTACCACTGACTGGCACCCAGGATATCTTATAATGAGTTACTCCAGGAAGTCTCCTCCAAGATAGCTTCAAAGTATTTATGCCAGTGTCAATAATCCTCAGATCTTGAATGGTCTGGGTGGGGTTGGAGTCTGCAAGAGATGCTGCAAAAATTAACCAGGATGAGATGTCTGAATTAACAACCCAAGTTATGCAGAGTTTATGGCTCTAACCTATGGCATTGAAGAAAGATGTGGGTATTTATGCAACATCTACTTCCCTGACGTTATCCAGGGATGCCAGGCTGCATCTCCTAATGGATCCATAGAGAGGAGCACTGTGCATTTAAGTTGAGGGATCTCATCCACATCTCTTACCGCCTGCACCAAACTCTGATGACAAGACACAAGGACATGAGGAGGGGGCCAAGAGAGGACAGATCATAGAATCATTTGGTTGGAAAAGACCTTTGAGATCATTGAGTCCAACTGTACCTGCCCACTACTAAGCCATTTCTCTGAGCACCGCATCTACCTGGCTTTTAAATACCTCCAGGGATGGGGACTCAACCACCTCCTGTTCCAATGCCTGAGAACCCTTTCAGTGAAGAAATTTTTCCTGACATCCCATCTGTAGCTCCCTTGGAGCAACTTGAGGCCATTGCCTCTTGTTCTTGATCATCCAGATTCATCATCAAACACCACAAGGAACTGTGATCCAGATGAACTTATGTGAAAAAGACAATGAAAGGACCCAGGACCTCAAGTCTGAAGAGACAGAGACATAAATCAAGGAACAGCAAACCTCGAGAGTGCATGTTCGTCAGTTGACCCTGAGTGGTGCCTGCAGAGAGGCTCCTACCTTCCTGAGATGGCTGTAGATAAAGTCTGGAGAGCATGTTAATACATCCAGGGTTGCCTACCTAAACCAAGTCTGTTTAACAGACCAGAAGAATGTGTCCAGTCCTACCCATAGGAACAGTTGTGGATTATTGCTACCATAGAATCCTAGAATGGTTTGGATTGGAAGGGACCTTCAAGATCATCCAGTTCCAACCCCCCTGCCAGCAGCAGGGACACCTTCCACTAGACCACATTGCTCAAAGCCTCATCCAACCTGGCCTTGAACACTTCCAGGGAGGGGGCATCCACAACTTCCTTGGGCAACCTGTTCCAGTGTCTGACCACCCTCACAGTGAAGAACTTCTTCCTAATATCTCATCTAAACCTCCCCTCTTTCAGCTTAAACCCATTTCCCCTTGTTTTGTCACTAGTTGCCCTTATGAAAAGTCCTTCCCCAGCTTTCTTGTAGGTCCCTTCAGGTACTTGGAGGCTGCTATAAGACCTCCCCGGAGCGTTCTCTTCTCCAGGCTGAACAGCCCCAACTCTCTCCGCCTGTCCTCACAGCAGAGCTGCTCCAGCCCTGGCATCATCCTGGTGGCCTCCTCTGGACTTGTTCTAGCTGCTCCATCTACAAGGGCTGCTAATGTCACTTCACCATCAACGTGCAATGCACAAGATCATGAATCCAGCCTTCACATCCCAACACAAAGAGGGTTGTTCCACCAGGACATACCTGTGTGGTGAGTCAGAGTCACCTCTGGCCCCTCGATCTTGTTGAAGACAGCTCGAAGACTGACTTTATACAGGGTGTTGGGCAGCAAGTGGTCAATCCGGTAAGTCAACACCCTACTGCCCAAGTATTGAGTCTTGGCAACCTGTTTTACTGTTAAAAAAATAATAATAATTAAAAAAAGGAATTCTTCAGAGCCTGTACCTCACCACTGAGGCTGGTGGCATCCCCTCCAAAGGCAACAGACATTCCTTGCTGTACTACTGTTTCAGATCTTTGGAGATTATCTTCAAAAATAGAAATGC